TAGCCTGAAAAACCATGATGATTGTCCCTACCTTAGGAAATTTTGGAGCTTTGGAATTGTTTTGGGAATGGGTGCTTAAATAAGTGTGGGGGTGTGCCTTTTGTGTTGGTTCTTGGTATGTTTATAAATTATGAGTGGCTATTCATCATGGTTCATCATAACATGGGTGTATATGGTTTGGTCTCTGGACTTTGCTATTTTATTCACAAAAAATGAAAAAAAAATGAAAAAAATGAAAAGAAAATACAGTCTAGCAGAAACAACAACAAATAATAAGAAGTTGGAGTTGGATTGGGCATTTTGAGAGGATTGGAATTGAAATTAGAATGGAAGTTTGGGGTTGCCTTCATGCTTATTTTGACTTATTCCCCATTGGTCCTCTATTTTCTTTGGTTCTTTAGCTACTTATCCATATATTCCATACCTTGTCCCCAGCCCCATTACAACCTTTAAAAGTCCTTTTGATCTTTATATGCATGTGTGCTGGGTGAAGATATTAGAGGCTTGCCAAGCCTATGGTAGTGTTTGTTTTCATGAAGTGTTTTGAGTGTAAACACTAGCCTATACACTTGACAGTGCTTTGAGCATATTTTGTGAGATATTATCACCTTCGATTCACCTCTTGACTGATTGACTTCCTTGCATAATTGAGATGATTTTTGGTTATTTCCATAGGTATCTTGATTTTGTCGACTACTTGACATCTCTTAGAATTCATTGAACAATTGGCCATATGTGTTTGTTCTCTTGTTTTATTTTTCCCTTTTGTTTTTTCCTTTCTTTTCATTTTTGTTCTTTTCTTTTCTTTTTGAGTCTATCTTGTTGGATGTGTTCCTTAAGATTGATTTTGCCCAGGAGTGCAAAAGGTTAAGTGTGGGGGAATTTGATAAATCATAATTTTCGTGCATTTTCATACCTTTGTAATCTCCTATTAAATATTGTTAGTGCCTAATTGTTTTCTCTTGCCATATTTTATTGTTTTGAGGTTTATTGGGCTATTAATCTGGAACTTCATTTAATTGGATTTATTAGCCTAATTAATTTCATAATCATTTTGTAGAAGACTTGGAAGCATTTATTGGACTAGGAGCACTGCCACATGGACCTGCCACGTGGACCAACTTCAGCATAGTTTTTATTTTATTTTTCTTATTTCATATTTTGGTGTGTAATGGGCCAACTAGGTCAGTCCAACAGTTGGACCCGAATTCAAAAATTTTTAGGGAACCTAGGTCAATTATTTAGGTCAGCCTAGGGGGACAAAGGAGGAGAGAGCCGCCACTTCTGGATTTGGTTCAAAAACGAGATAGAGAAAAACACCATTTTTGGACAGCATTTGTGCTTGCTTTTGCTGTAGCTTATTTTTTGTAGTTGTTCTCCTTATTTTTTGTTTTCTTCTTCTTGGTCTTCCTCCATGGAAGGCTAGACTGTAATACTCTCTAACTCGGTTAAATGCATTCATTGAGGTTGATTCATTCCTGGTGCTCTTATGTTTTTAATCCTTATGAATCTATTGTGTTGGTCTTGTTTCCATGCTTTATGGTTTCGTTTTCACTTAACTGGTTCACCTTGCTTTACTCATGGTTTGCTTAATTCTGTGAGTAGAGATGCATGCCAATGCTTCGTTTGCATGTATGGTGATGGAGGACCATCCTTGGTACTTCATGTGAGACCCATCACATGGTTCATGGCTAGGAGAATGGAGAGATACCATGTATGGATCCATCTCCTAGGCCCAATTTGAGTAGTATAGAATTTTATTTCTTTATTCCAATTTTACCCTTGTACTTTGGGATATTTTAGTCATAGAATTTATTTTACTTGTATTTCCAATTTTACCCTTGTATTTTGGGGTATCTTAGTCATAGGATTTATTTTCTTTTGTATTTCCCATTTTACCCTTGTATTATGGGGTGCTCTAGATGATTAGGGTTTTAATTTTTGGGCTAGGGTTTTAAATTAGGAAGTGATGCATTTTTTTGGTGTTCTTGGACTTATTTTTGGACTTAGAAAGGCTTAGGCCCAAGTGGAGGGCAAAGGTTGCATGGTCTTATCATGCACCTAGATGTAGCCTAACTAATCCCAAAGATTTCATCCTTGGCCACCAAGTTGCATCTAAGGTTAATTTGCATTTCATTTGGTGTGCATTTGGCTTGTGAATTTCAGCCATGCACTCTCCAAATGCAACCCTAGATGCCTCCCACTCCTATAAATACCCTAGGTTATGCATCATGTAAATACTTTGGATTATATGAATTTGAGAGAGCATTTCTTTGCCTCAAATCCTATCCTTAGTCCCTAGGTTAACTTCGGCTAACCACCTTCATTCTCCACCCTTGGAGAGTGAAACCCTAGA